CATTGCTAGTTCAATTCCTTGGCCAAAAATCGCACGAGGTACACCAACAGCAGTTTATTTAAAGAAGAAAATTTACAAACGCGCACAGAGGAAATTTTTCCCATTGCTGTGTTTGAATCAGCAATTCGAGCTTGACTGCAGCTTCTACTTATGATTATCCCAACTTCTTTGAAATTTTCACAGATTATAAACCGTTCATTGGGATCCGATTTGCGTATTTTCCGCAAAGCTCAAAAAAAAAGCCACTGGATGGATTCTACCCCCCGATCATAAGACAAATAAATTAGTCGGGTCAGAGCCAGTATATCCGTTCCATGCTTTACCCACCACGACGGAATGGTAACACGGGTAGAAAGAGGCCAAGCACCACGTTAACACTTTACCTGCAAAACAATTTGGAAGTCTATCTGAGAATGAAGTTGAAAGTGGTGGATTTTGTTTTTCTGACATGCAGTAACAACACACGGTACGAACTGCGAACACGCATTTCGCGCAGTTCCCGCTAACGGACGTTTGATGTTAAAAATCATCATTGCTTTACATTTTATTATGTGCAAATCAACAAGTTGTTTGGGCCTTAAACTGCGAAACTTCCCACCAAAAATTTCACATGCCCATACACGAAACATAGGCGTGTCCACAGAAATGCGAGTGAGCAGAAAAAATCCTCCAAAAACTTTAGCTGTCTTGTCTGTTTTTCGAAATAAAAATTCCCCACAATAAATTTTATGTGCTCGTACGTAAGAATTAAGCGGACACGAAAGTTGAATGTGAAATTCCAGGACTGCGTATAGAAAGAGGACATAACTCTAAATTTCTAGCTTTCATCTTATCGGTTTCTAAGAGAGGATATTTCTTGTCAACACATCCACGTAGCCGTGACATACAAGTATTTGGAAGTTGGGTTTAAATTCATGTGGTCGCACATGGGCACGAAACCTTCTAAATATCAGCTATCTTTTCCAGTTTCCGAGCTGGAAAATTTCCCGTCAAAACTTTTGCGTATTTAACGTAAGAACTACGGGTAACTGAATGGTGATTGTAAAATCTTTGGTTCGAACATAGAGGGGAATATCCAGGGTTTCAGCTTTCTAGTTTTTTTTTAGCTCCCGAGTTAGTGACTTCCGTGCCAAAACTTTCAAGTAACAGTACGTGAGGCATAGGAGCATGTGACGGCTAAATTTAAATCTGCAGAGTCGCATACAAATAGAGAGCATACTTCTACAATATTTGCATCCTAGCTTTCTGGTTCTTGAGTATAGTTACAACAAAGGACGCATAAAAACGGATCAAAGAAATGTAAAGGGAAAAACCATTTGTACACCTTACACTGCAGATAACATCAACAAGCATTGAAGACTACATCTAGCAGGTAATAAAAAATTCTGAACTGACTGTTATGGCGTTTCTTCTAGCCGGATTATGATATGCACTTATTAGTTGCAGACATCAAAAGTTATTTAGGGAAAAGACGCACAGATCTCTGAGAAGAGGAAAACCGAAAAGATAGATAATTTTTGAATTTTTAAATTTTCCCATCGAAATTTCCTGCACTTTGTTTCCGTCAATTTTAAAATACACACACAAGTGCAAACGCCTATTAGACTGCGACTGCAGCACACGTGCTATACTGGAAAACCTTCGCAAAAGGGCTGGGAAGAGAGAGGGGGAGCATTACAGTTGCGCTTTTGTCGACGACCCAGAACAGCACTGTGGGAAAATAGTGTTAATGTGTATGTTTGTGTGTGTGTGTGTGTGTGTGTGTGTGTGTGTGTGTGTGTGTGTGTATGAATGTATGTGTAATGTGTGCATGTGTATGTGTGCGTATGTGCCTTCCACTTCTTCAGCCGTTAATGAAAATCCGGAAATAACTAGGAAGCTGAAAGCTGAACGTGCCTCTGCTCGAAATATTCCCTCGTCTGCCCAGAATAGCACTTGTTTCAATGTAAATATGACTTCTGATAGCATCACTGTGCTGGATTTAATTATTCGAAAGGAAATCGCTTTTAAAGGCCACCTTGTAACTAATATGGTGCAAACTTTGGTGCTAACTAGTAACAGCGCATACAAATCATGGTGTCAGGGTGTGTGTAGCAAGTATCAATTATGACAGTGCTTTGGAACAGTGCGATAGCGAACTCTCGGTTATGAAGACCAAACAGGACAGCTTTGTTCAGGCAGGTAAGCACGCGCTTTTCAAGAAATTAATAAAGCTAAGCTTAGCTAGAGTGGTTGAGAGGGTGGGGGTTGCAATTACTGGGGGTGGAAGGTGATGAAGCAGAGGCAGAAAAAAGAGGAGGGTGAAGACCGCTGGTGGCGGTGTTAGGTCTCGATGGTCGTAACGAAGGATAATGGAAAGGTTTTGACTGGAAGGAGCAGACATTTTGGTTAGAGATAAGAATTAGAAAGAGAGATGCGGTTTATGAGGGATGGGGGAAGGGGGCCTATGGGTTTTTTATGCACAACAAATTTGGCAGTGAGGAGGAAATTAGTAGTTTTAAACGCGAAACCTAGAAACTTATTTAAGAAAAACCTCAAACTGGAACGCACCAGGCTTGCCGGTGCGACCACGCATTCCTGCGCTAGACTTGCAGCGGTCAGATCGTTAAAAGAATGACTGGTTCTTGCGTTACAGTTTAACACGTGGGCACACGTTGGCTGTGTTTCTGCGTTTTCTTGCATACAGGTTAGAATGTAGTGTTGAATCATAGGGTCGCGTGAACCTACATTGTGCACGATCAATTTTTATGCATTTTTGCGGTGCAGCGCTAGAGCGCTGCAACAGGCAGCAAAACTCATATTGCAACGATCCTGTCAGTGTGTGTGTATGTTTGTGTGTATGTGTGTGTATGCGTGTGTGTATGTGGATGTATGTGTGCTCATCTGTCCGGGTATATCAACTCCCAACCACGCAAGCTTTGAGGCTGAAATTTAGCCAGCATGTTTCCCAGTCAGGTGCCACCCCAGGACCGCTGTATCAACCCTCACGCACGTCTGGGCCCCGCGTACGAGCACGTGAAAGTTTTGGCGAGAAAATTGCTAAGTTGGGAACAGAAAAGCTAGAAAGCTGAAACCATACGGGAATATTTCCTGCTCACGCACGACCAAAAATTTCCAAACTAAGCTTCAGAGGACCGGCCGGGGCTCACGTATGAGCACGTGAAAATTTTGGTGCGAAAATTATTAACTCGGGAACGAAAAAAGCTCGAAAGCTGAAACTTTTTGGAAATGTTCCCTACTCATGTACAACCAAAATCAGTTGTTTAGAGGCGTCCGAGACCCACGTACACTACTTGTGAAATTTCTGGCGCGGAAATTACTAACCCGGGAATGGGAAAAGCTAGAAAGCTGAAACTTTCGAGGAAGGTTTCCTACTCATGTACAACCAAAATCAGGTCTTTAAAAACATATGGGACCCACGTGCAGGCACGTGGAAATTTTGGCGCGAAAATCACTAACCCGGGGACGAAAAAAGCCAGAAAGCT